TAGCTTCCATCTTGATTTAGACATTCGATTGTGTAGTTTGCAATATGATGGAAGAATTAGTAAAACAAAAGAAAAAACATTAAATGAGATATAATATCTATAGATGAGATTAAAAAACGGAATAGAAAAATGAAAGGTCTAGAACATTTATAAGTTAATAAAATACAATTAATATAACCAACAAAATAAGTCTAAGAAAATCTAAATTTTTGAAGGAAAAAAAAAAGAATTATGAAATAACTTTTCCACAAAGTGTCACATAAAAAACTTCATATTTTACTTTTAGATTTATCTAAAATAATGATGTCAAATGCTCAATTAAAGACATCTTTGGTTTGGAAATTTTTGTTTTTATTTTGGAGAAAATAATGAAATACACATTTTTTTATTCACGGATAAAAAAATATTTAACTTATTTAACATTTCATAAATTCAAAACAATGAGAAAATCTCTTTTAAAAATAATCTTGTGACAATGTCTCACACCATTTATTGTATGTTTATTTTAATTAGTAGATGGAAAGATGAAAATATTATAATAAATATCAAGAATGAAGATGAAAATGTTGGGGATTAAAYTTTTTAAAATTACCAAAACAATTCATTTTCTAAAAATTCCATCGTCTTTTATATATCAAATATTTTAAAGAATCAAAAATCCAAGGGGGCGTTTGGTTCGTAAAATGGAGTTCGATGGAATTGGAATTCATCAAATGAATTTGACTTTGAGGGAATGAAATGAAATCTGATGGAATTTGACTATGCCTTGTGATTGCGTTTGGTTGCATGGAATTGGATTAGGGAAAGAATCTGTAGGAAAGGAATTGAATTAGGGAAGGAATCTGTAGGAAAAGAATTGAAATCCTAGCATATTGCCATGGAATTGTAAAATATGTGCGTGAAGGAATCGACTGGAAATTAAAAGGATTCCATAGTCTTATTCCATGAACCAAACACTCTATTTGGAATTTGGTCAAAGGATTGGATATTCCAATACCTTTCAATTTCTTTCAATTCCCATGATCCAAACAGCCCCTAAGAGAAAAGAAAGATAAGCTTCACATTTTCTAAATAATATAATTTTTACATACCTTTTTAAAATCCTTTAAATTTTCTTCAACTCTTATTTCTTCATTACTCACCAAACGATTTMTGCAAATTGAAAAAATCTTGAAGTAGTCAAAATTTAACGTGATTATCAATCACGTAAAAATAGTTATTGTTAATGGAGCTTAAATTCGAAAAAGATTTATCATATCCTGTGATTACAAAATATCAAAATTTTATTCAAATTTATATAATTCAATCGTAAACACAAACATATCCTATGATAACAACAAATCCAACAATATTAAAAAAGACATATGTAATAACAAATCACATTTTTAATGAGTATAATTTCTACATACCTTTTAAAATCTTTGAATTCTTCTTCAACTCTCACCTTCTTCATCCCTCACTAAAAGAATTTGTAGGATTTCATTTTGTTTATTATTGAAACTTTGAAAAACAAATTTCATTAAGAAATAAAAGAAAGTAAATGAAAGAGCAAATCAAGAGTTGGAGGTTAAACTTGGGTATACAAAATTACAAAAAACCCCAATTAATTATGAACCATACATTCTTCATATAAGGGTATAAAAGTCTTTAATATATTCAACATTTAAAAAATCAAAAAATTGAGAAAAAAGATATGAGAAGTTCTAAGCATTAGAAGATGTCACCTCATTATGCTTGGTTTCTTCTTTAATATATATATATATATATATATATATATATATAGATTAGAAGTGTACTTGTGTAATGTATCGAGATATATCTTTATTTTAATATTTTGTTTTATTTTTTGTCTCTGTTGATATAGTACAGTTTATATGATTTTGCATAGACAGTTAAAAAATCACAAGAAACAGTACCCGACGCATGATATAGAGCTTGAGGCCATCGTTTTTGCACTAAAGATTTGGAGGCATTTTTGTTGGGAACCAAATGCCAGGTTTTTTTAGATCATAAAAGCCTTCAACATTTGTTTAATAAGATTGAACTAAATATGAGGCAAAGATGGTGGATTGAATTGGTGAACAACTATGACTATGAAATCTTTTATCACCCTGGGAATGCAAACGTGGTGGCTGACGCGCTTAGTCGAAAGAAAAAGAGTGGAACAATTAAAGCCATTACGTTGAGAACGAACCTGATCCCCGACATTTTAATGAAATTCTAAGATGTCAAGGTGAAGCTGTCAAAGAAGAAAATTTCAAGGCCGAAAGAATTGGTGGAATAATTTCAACATGAAAAAAAAAATGATAAATGGAATCTATGTTTCCAAGCAAAATTTGGATACCATGTTTTGGGAACAATAATGAACTGATTTTAGACGAGAGTCACAGATCGCGATACTCGATTCATCCAGATATCAATAAGATGTACAAAGATTTAAAATCATTTTCTTGGTGGCCCTGATTGAAGATGGATATTGTGAAATATGTAGAACGATGTTTGACGTGTCTGCAAGTGAAGATTGAGCATCAACAACCATATGAGAATTTACAATATCTGAAAATTCTTGTATGGAAGTGAGAACATATCACAATGGATTTCATTATAAAGTTACCATGAACGCCAAAGGGGTATGATGCCATATGGGTTATTGTGGATTGTTTAACTAAATCTATGCACTTTCTACCAATCAAAGAGAATTATCATTTAGAAAGGCTTGCAAAGATTTACCTTGAAGAAATTGTGACTGTTCATGGTGTTCCTTTATCAATTGTCTCAGATAGGGACAACTGATTTACCTCTAAATTTTGAGAGAGCTTCCAAAGAGCTATGAGATCTCAGATTAGATTGAGTACGACGTATCACCCTCAAACAGATGGGCAGAGTAAAAGAACGATTCAGACCCTTGAAGATATGCTGAGAGCTTGTATTATTGACTTTGGGGGATCTTAGAAAAATCATCTGCCTCTAATTGAATTTGCTTACAACAATAGTTATCATTTCATCATTCAAATGGCATCGTATGAGGCTTTGTATGGCCTAAAGTAAAGAACGTTGTTGTGTGGGAATGAAGTAGGGGAGAAACAGTTGGCTGGTCCAGAGATCGTTCAAATAACTTCTGAAAAGATAGATCAGATTCGAGAATGAATTAAAACAACTCAGGATCGACTTAATAGTTACGCGGATGGACGCTACAAACCGATTGAATTTATAGTAGGAGATTTTGTAATGTTAAAAGGTTTCTCCGTGGAAGGGTACCGTTTGATTCGGATAAAGAGATAAACTCAGTTCGAGGTATATTGGACCGTTTAGAATATATAAGATGGTTGGTTCAGTAGCATATCATTTTGAGTTGCCTGAGGAACTCAATGCTATTCACAACACTTTTCATGCCTCAAACCTACGATAATAACCATTTGACCTTGTAAAGATAAAATTTTAAAATAACAAGCATGTTTTAATATCATCAGAGTCTACAAAAATTTGTAAATTGGGTTTGATATTATCCAAAACATAAATGTTTGTCAAACATATTTTATATTTGTTATTACTGTTTTGAAAACGTAAATGCAAAAACGAATTCTTCTCTACAACCAAACATGTTCCTCAAGATTCACGAACCCTTTGTCTACAAACACACGATAGACTATCAAACCTCAAATTTCTAATTAACACATGCTAAATTAATTGGATCTTGATGACGGAAAATGTGATATATTAAGGTGCCTTTTTATTTCTAGTATTATGTATGCAGGTGCACAAAAACCCAATCAATCCGTTCAACCCATCCAACCTAGACTAGTAAAAATTCAACTCAAATACACTTGATGCCTAATGGAATTATAAATTCTTCAAACTGTAGATATGTATATTAGACGCTTAGACCAACCTGTAATTACCTTTTTCGCAAATGCGTAACAATTCCAGCTTTAATTTATTTTCTTATTTGCGTGAATCTTCTACTTTCTTTTTTACGCTGATTCGGATTTTTCTTTGTTCCCATGTATCATAAAAGGTTAATTAACTCGTAGTACTTACTGATGGTTGTTTAGATACGTTATTGTAGTAATGATGTTATGTTACAACTCGACCAACCCAACCTGTACCAACCAAAGCTTTATTCTTTTTTAGATTGAAATATTTGAAACCGCACTAGTTGAGTTGGGTTGTTCAATTGCCTTCAAACTCGTATTCACTTCTCACTTCTTTATGAAACTTGACCCTTTAGCCTCCAACAAAATGGGATCAGTAAGTTCTTGTACCATTAGACAAATGTTTACATATATTTTTTTTCACTAGAAGGTTTTTATGCAATGCAACGAGATATATCTTGATTTTAATATTTTTTTTATTCTTTATCTCAGTCGATGTTATAATATAGTTTTATGTGATTTTGAAAAAGCGATGATGTTTTTATTTTTTAATAAAATATAAATTTGAAAATATCATAAAAATTTGACAAAAATATATCGACATTAGTATCAAATTAACTATTTAAAATTCCTCATATTTTGTGTAATTTTTAATTCAATTTTTTTATTATAATTTAATTTAGATTCAATAACGAAGTAATTTATATTTGGTTTAATAATATAATTTTCTTATAAAGATAAAAATTAATTATTTTATTAGAATTCGATAATTATCCTAATTATATTTTGAATTTTTTATATTTTAAAATGAGATGCTTATTCTCTATTCAGTTATGTTTATCCGCAGTTGCACTTAGTTACATGAATTCAAATATAAAACTTTAATAAGTTGTACTTAAACGAAATTACTTGTACTCTTGAATTTTAAATAATATGTATCAATAAATAGTACTTAATGCATAAAAAATAATTTTTAAAAGTTTTTATCAAATGTTTTATAATATAATATAGATATTATATTTACATAAACAAACATGAAACATCAAAAACTACATTATAATTAAAAAAAAAAAACTTAAAAGATAAAGAATTACTTACTTTAATTTAAAAAAATTAGCCAACAAGTTTAAATTAAATAACAAATCCAATAAATAAATTTAAATACAACAAGGGTTGGTTAAAAGAATTATTTTTATTTTTATTTTCATTTTCATTTAAATTAATTGTTTAACTTTTGTTTTAAAAACTAAAACGTATAGTTTCTCCATAGAAAAATAGAGAAAACAGCCAGTCGCATGGGTCACAAATGATCCAAAATTTAAGCCCACAATGCAATGCCAGGCCGGCCCATATATCTTGTCAAACTCCTGTGCCACACACAAAAAAAATTTATTAATATAATATTGACTTTTTTTTTGGCAATTTATAAAATTTTAAATTAGAAAATGAAGTTGAAAATATATATTTTCATCAGATTTTGGTAATGTGGTCATATCATAAAACCATTTTTATTTATTAAATTCATATTTTTTATATCTTAAAAAAGTTTATCCTAAGTTAATATTTTATTTTATTTATAAGTTTGATAATTATTTAATTTACAGATTTGATTCATGTACTTGCAAACCATGTCCAAAAATTTCTTTTACTTTTTGACCCAATTATAAATTAAAGAATTGTTACTTGAAGAGATAGTGACATTTTTAAAACTTAGGAGAGAAACAAGAAAGAGGTAATATATCTGGTTAAAATAACTATTTGGGTTAAGTTTCCCGATAAATAATAGAGAAATTAGCTCAAATGACCATATCCGTCCTTTAAATTGGCTTCCTAACCGTTTCTTTTTCGGGTTGACCCAAATGTCATTACATCTGCAATACCTAGATCCGCAATATTGCAGACCTAGCTAAAAGACAAAAAGAATGTAAGATTCAACTGGTTTATCGTCGCAATTGTGGACCTAATCGTCACAATTGTAAATTGTATATTTGTGTTAAATTTTTGGTCTTTAGCTAGATCTATAATGTTACTGATATAGATATTACAAAAATAATGACATTTGGATTAATCTGGGAGAGAAATAATTGGAAAAGTTGAATCTAAGGGGTCGTTTACCAAATACTTACCCGGTAAGCGCTTACCGGTAAATTTAACACTATCATTTATTTATCGGATAAGATTTTAGTTCACCAAAACGGTATTGTATGCAACAATTTACCTGGTAAGCGCTTACTGTGGTCAAAGTCGTCGCCTTCACTTACCGGATAAGACTCTTGGTCTTTGTATTGTTCTTACCAGATAAAATTTTTGATCCTTACTATATTCATGTGATAAGATAAAATGATTTAATGTTTACTTACCTGAATAAATGTTTGTTAATGACCCTTAAAGTGGAGGTTTCTAAACAAGAGAGAGGGTGAGAACTTATTTTAAAAAAATAGTTATTTAAATCTGACGGCACATGGGTGGTCAAAAAGCAAAGCTTGGCCACGTGCACTTAACTAGTTGGTGGCCTATTTTAAGATGCGGATTTTGGTATCAAATATTATTTGAATATAAAAATTCATATAAACTAATTTAAAAATAAGACAAAGATTATATACATAAAATTGAGTTATTATATAATCATTTATATTTGTATAATCAATATAATTCAATTTCAATCGTCCATTTAATTTGATAAACATATGATTTCATAAAAGTTTTGATTGTTTTCTAACATAAACTATTGATAATAATTAATGAACTCTAGTTATCTTCCATAAATATTCAAATCATAATAAACAAACTCTCAACATTTCTATAAATATCTCAACTGATTGAGTTGCATTTAAAATATACCCTATATATGTATTCTGAAAAAATCATAAATAAATTACTAGTATTTACACAAGAGAGTAGAGATGGACCAAAACCAAATAAATTCGTCACTAAAAGCCAAATCTAAAGCACATGCCACTATTTTCATACTCAACTTCGATCTTTATCATATTAAATGTGTAATTTTAAAAAAGGTATCCAAAGTTTTTAGGTACATTGTTTAAGGTCTTTCATAAGCGAATATAAAAAGTATAGTTCATTTTAATGTCTCGTTAATTAATATAAAGTAATAGGCCTTATCATCACATATCTAATTTTTATATATGTATTTTTGTTATCTCATTTTTATAATATTATTATAAACTTTATGTGTAACAGAGCCTCTAAAGATATCGTGTTACATCACTATCATATTAAATCTATTTTTTACGCTTGTAAATTAATTGAATATATATATATATATATATATATAATTTATTGATTGTTATGAAAATTAAAAAATAAGATAAAATTAAATGGCACATTTTCTTGAAATCACATACCTTTTTGAGGTTAAGAGCAATTTGTTTAGGGCTGAATTTCTCTAAGCTATCAAATGTATTTCTGGCACACCGGAATGCATGGATTTGCATAAACGTCGGCATGTCTGTCACCAACACCCTCACCTGTAGCACCGTCGCCACCCGCACTACGTTCATCTCTGCCGCCGTGTTCCCCACCGATCTCCTCCCTGTCAACGACACCGAGTTCCTCCCTCCCTCCATCACCGAAACAGACTTTCTTGCAGATTCCTGAACCATTTGTTTGTCTTCATGATCTTCACTGAACTGGTTTTCCCGGTAGGTTTTGGATCTCCTGAGTAGTCCAAAACCTTGTGAAACGACTTTCTTGGAGGTGGACGGTGGTGGGAGGTGGCTTCCGGTGTCTAGTTTGTACACGTACATTACTCCTTTCTTTTGTTTCTCATTAGGTGCCATTTTTGACTCCAGTTGAATACTTGTGGGTGTATACAGAGATCTAGATGGCTATGGTAAGGTGATATGAAAGCAGCGGCGGACGAAGAAAGAAGCAAACCATGTGATGATGCATGGGTCAATTTATAGGATGGTGCACAAGTCTATATGTATACTATACATTTGAAAATTCTTAAAAACCATTTTTTATGCATGAAGTATTGTATATTGATACATATTACTTAAAATTCAAGATTACAAGCAAATTATACAAGTACAACTTATTAAAGCTCCATGTTTGAATTCATGTAACTAATTGCGGATAAACATAACCAAATAAAGGATAAACATCTCATTTTAAAATATAAAAAATCTAAAAGATAATTATCGAGTTCTAATAAAATAATTATTTATCATCTTTATAAGAAAATTATATTATTAAACCAAATATAAATTATTTCGTTATTGAATCTAAAATAAATTATAATTAAAAAATTTGAATTAAAAATTTGCAAAAAATAGGAATTTTAAATAGTTAATTTGATACTAATATCGATATATTTTTGTTAAAATTTTATGATATCTTCAAATTTATATTTTATTCAAAAATAAAAACATCATCGTTTTTTTAAAATCACACAAGACCATATTATAATATCGACTGAGATAAAAAATAAAATGAAATATTAAAATCAAAATGTATCTCGCTGTATTACACGAATACCTTTCTATGTATATATATATATGTATGCAGGATGTTTCAAATTCAACACATTATATTTGTACAACCAATGCAACCCAATCAATTGAGATATTTATGAAAATGATAAGAGTTCAGTTATTATGATTTGAATATTTATGCAAGATAACTATGATTCATTAATTATGATCAATACTTTATATTAAAAAACAATGAAAACTTTTATGAAATCACATATTCATCAAACTAAATGGATGATTGAGATTCAGTTGTATTGGTTATACAAATGTAAAAGGTTGCGTAATAGCGCACCCCCTCTTTCTATACACACACACACACACATATATATATATATATATATATATTAATTATTCTTTATTTTTCGGTCTTCGAAATTGAAAAACAAATATGCAAGTTGTCGAATCTAGCCGTTGTTAGTTACTCGATAAATCACCATAAATTTATCTAATGTTAAATACAAACATATATAAATTAAATAAGATATTTAATTTATATTATAAAGTATTTAATAAAAAAACTTATTAAACATTAATTGTTACATATTAATGCATAATCTTCTAAAAATAAAGATTATAATTTATTGTTAAATACATACACAATTTTAAGAGTATATGTTGAATTTCATTTTAAACTTTTATTAAACAAAAAGAATTTTACTCAAAGACATAACCATAAGAAATCCGTTGCAAAAGGGTCATCTCCTCATCTAATTCAAGCATAGATCATCCGGGGTTTAATTCATTGACGGATTATACAAAATCCGATTCGGTGAAAGATTACCTAAGACACTTATTTAGGCGATCGACATGAACGAGTGTATGTGGATGAGAGGGGGAGGGGGGGGGGGGTTGACCCCATAAACTTTCAAAAATTGTTGTTTTTTTACTATAAATTATAGTTTATATATATATATATATATATATATATATATATATACTAGAAGGGTACTCGTTCAATGCATTGAGACATATTTCCATTTTAATGTTTCGTTTTGTTTTTTATCCATGTCGATATAAATATGATTTTATGTGCTTTTGAGAAAACGATAATGTTTTTATTTTTGAATAAAATATAAATTTGAAAATATTATATAAATATATCAATATTAGTATCAAATTAACTATTTAAAAGTTCTTGTTTGTATATTTTTTTAATTCAATTTTTTATTATAATTTAATTTGACTTAATTTAGGTTTAATGATATATTTTTTTATAAAGATAATAACTAAATATTCTGTTAGAACTCAATAATTATTCTAATTATATTTTAGATTTTTTATATTTTAAAATGAGATGTTTATACTCTATTTGATTATGTTTATCCGCAGTTAATTATACGAATTCAAACATAGAGCTTTAATAAGTTGTACTTATGCACAATTTACTTGTAATCTTGAATTTTTAAGTAATATGCATCAATAAACAATACCTCATGCATGAAAAATAGTTTTTAAGAGTTTTTATCAAATGCTTTATAATATAATATAAATATATACATATATGTTATTTTCACACCCAAAATTTTCAAGCTCGATAATCGTTTTACATATTTAAGTTATACATTACCAAAAATTCAAACTTTGTAAACTCATTTACGGGTTCAAACCCAATAATTTTATATTTTGAATGATTTATAAAAATAAGAACATGTTTCCCTTGAAAAAGTAAATGTTCGAATTGCTCGACTCGAAAAGTTAATCAAGTTTCCAAACGAGATGAGTGGAACATTAGTGCCATGGAATTCGACTCGTTAAGTTAAATACATTTATTTTTGTATTCGAGATGGACTCGAACTTGAAAATGATCAAGCTCGAACTTGAGTACATAAAAACTTGAATCGTGAACATCCCTAAATTGTTAGGGTTGGAGATTATAAGCAGTTGATGCATAATTGTTAATTCTCTTTGTTGATTATTAATTATTATTTATTTTCTTTGAAAATTTGGATTATTTGAAAAATAGTATCAAAATCTCGAAGTCCGGTAATGGTCACTCATTTTTATTATATTTTATTGTTACCTATACTCCGACTCCCATAATCAAAATTTCTGGAGTCGTCACTGGCGACAAATGACCTAGACCCCTTATTTAGCAACGAATTACCTAAGGAATCATTTAGCAATAGATTACCTAGGGGATGTTATTAGTGACGAATTACCTAGAGTAACTATTTACCAACAGATTACATATATAGGGAAACTTTTGTAATTTAAAAATATATATTTAAAATGCGCTATTTTCCCGTATGTTGAATAACAAAATTTACGAATATTTTGTACACCAAAAAATGTTTGTACAACAATATCAACTAGCTAGGAGGGGGAGAGGAGGGGTAGTGAATTTCTTGACGAAAGCCTCGAAATCCAACCGCAAATGCTTCTCCAAAATTACTCGCTCATCTTGCTCCGTCTTCGGTCGTGACTCGAGGTCGGTCTCTCGTATTGCCCGCTCTCGATCTTGTGTCGCTCGCTCCTCCTCCCGTGCCAGCCGGTCCTTAATTTCTCTTAAATTCAAGTACCTAAAAATATTTTGACATACATGAAATATGTTGGCAATGAAATTAATGATATTTTATTAACGAACAACATACCTCTGGTGGTAATTAGTAACATAAGATCTTCCGATGCTGCAAATGACAAATTCACTAGTCAAAGCAAAAGTAGGATCCTGAGTCGTCCCAAAACCGAAGAGGCGGCCTTTCTTCCAACCTCCAACACTTGTCTCCCACAGCTCTAAATCATCACGTGGACAAGTGTTGAGATCTGAACCATGCTTCTCCTGCATAAGCTGATCATGTGTTTCCTACAATTTACAAAAAAAATAATTATATTATTAATTTAGTAGAAATTTCGACAATATAACAACTGTAAATTAAACATTTCTATAACCTGTTTTGACAATTATATCTTGTAACACCCTTAAATTTACAAAATAACAGATGATTTAAAACTTCCCAAACTTTTTTAAATTATAACAAATTTAATAAATAAATACATAAATTTACCCAAAAGGAGTACAAAGTATGTATCAGAGTTCTAAATGAGACTATCTAATTCTCAAACAAAATTATAATAAGTTGGGTGTTACTAAAACCATCAAATCTTTTATCTTCAAAATTATATGTATCAGGTAAATTAGAATAAGTTGGTGGTTTGATTCGGTTTTGTTCAAATGATAAATCAAATGTATTGCAACTATTACAGAATATACAATGTTACAAATACAATGAAAATATTAGATCTAAACAATATAGAGTTAAGAAACCCTAGATCTAATCAATAAGAAGCTATGAACAGCTAAGAATTGAAAACTTTAGAAAGAGAGAGTAATCAAAGAATGAAAATGAGATTATGAAATGAGAGATCCCGTTAAGAGTGCTTTATATATGAACTGGAAATTGACAGAAATGGTCCTTTGAGAATTGAACTGCTTGCTCCACTACCCTTCTTCTTTTCTGAAGTATGAGGCGCAACCCTTGTCCTATAAACAACATCTTTCACCTTTTGACAAGATCAACCCCTTACAAATAAAAGATATATAAAAGTTAGGATTGAAAAGATTTTAATTATTTTAACACCCTCACCCAATCTTGATTTTAGAATAAATCAATCATTCGTAATTTTGAACATAAGTAGTTATGATGATTAATAGCAAGGGCTTTTGTAAAAATATCAGCTGGTTGTTCAGAAGATAAAATTTTAACAACCCTCTACTGATATTTTCTCTGATTTGATGAATATCTATCTTAATGTGTTTAGTGCGTTCATGAAAAACTGGGTTGTTAGCAATTTGAATAGCAGACTTATTATCACAATGTAAAGATACATATAATAAGTTTGTAATATTTAAATCTGTGAGAACTTTTAAAACCCATAAAACTTTACAAGCAGTGGAAACTATAGCTCTATATTTAGATTTTGTAGGAGAATGGGAAACAATATTTTGTTTCTTGCTCTTCCAAGAAATCATTGAATTTCCTAAAAATACACAAAACCCAGTAATTGAACGCCTAGAGGTGAGACACTTACCCCAATCAGTATCAACAAATGTTGTTAAAGAAAAGTTTTCAAATCTAGTAAAGCTAACACCTTTACCTGGAGAAGACTTTGAATACCTGAGGACTCTTAGTGCAAGATTCAGATGAGATTGTTTGGAAGAATGCATAAATTGACTAAGGTAGTGAACAACAAATGCAATATCAGGTCTAGTAGCAAGAAGATAGATCAATTACCAATTCACTTTTGATAACTTGTATGATCAGATAATAAGGAATCCTTATTATTATTAAAATTTGAAACAATTAAATTTCTATTTATTGGAGTATTACAAGGCTTGCACCCTAAATATCGAAACTCATTTAGTAATTATAAACAATATTTCCTTTGAGTCATGCAGATCCCATTAACACAA